GTTGCTTTTGGTCATTGCAAATCATCGCCACTATCCTGCATTTAGCACATATGAGAATTTCTCAGATGCTAAGTTCCAAAATTAATCATTGTTCTGAAATAGGAAAATAAGTTCTTTATAGAAAGAAAGTTTAATTAGGGAACCAGGCAGATCATACAGTGATTAGGACATTTGTCTCAAACGTGCTGACCCTGATTCTATGCCTGGCACAAACATATGGTCCCCTGAGCACTACCAGGAGTCATCCCTGAGCACTGCTGGGTGTGACCCCCAAAGCCAAGAGAAGAAAAATCAAGTAGGGAAGTGGGTCAGCTTCTTTACCTTACAGTGCTGGAGAGAGAAAATAGCGGGCAGGGCACTTGCCTTCATGTTGTCAACTGGCTCAACCCCTGGCAGCACATGCAGTCCACTAAGCACTGCTCAGGAGTGGTCCTTGAGCACAGAGCCAGATGTAAGCCCCGAGAACAGCCCAAAAAAGCAACAACCACAAAAACTCCACTATTTACTTAATAGCTTAATTTAAAACATCAACTCCAAAAGCTAGTTTTTGCCATCCCTGAACTCCCTTTTTGCAGATTTCTTTCATTTTGTTTTATATTGTTGAGGAGATTGCTTTTATTTCAACAAAATTTAAACCGTTCTATTTTTGTTTTAGCATTTGGTGGGGAGATGGAGGACTTAAAATATTCTTAAAGAAACAAATCCTTTAAAGTGTAGGATGGTAGGATGGGGCAAAATATTCTGATAATATTTAAGCATTATTGGTAGTGACCTGTTATGTGTTTTATCTATCTAGCTATTTTATCTATTTCTATTAAAGAGCATTGTTTAGAGAAGGACAGATGTAAGATTGACTGCATTCATTTATGAAATATTTTTTTAAAAATAGTAGGAGACTAATATCCAAGGCCAGGGAAAACAGGGGCCAGGAGAATTGGGTAATTGATGGAAGCTTGGGGCTGGAGCGATAGCACAGCGGGTAGGGCATTTGCCTTGCGCGCGGCCTACCCGGTTTCGATTCCCAGCATCCCATATGGTCCCCTGAGCACCGCCAGGAGTAATTCCTGAGTGCAGAGCCAGGAGTAACCTTTGAGCATCGCTGGGTGTGACACAAAAGGCAAAAATACAAAAAAATTGATGGACGCTTGCCACAAGTGTGGGGGTGAGGGTAGGGATGGGGAGTGCAAGTAAAGGGCAGTTAGGATAGAGAAAGGACCAGTATGACAATAATAGTTGGAAATGACCACTTTGGACAGGAACTGAATGTTAAAAGTAGGTAAAGGGTACTATACTGCAAACCCTAATGCCCAAAAGGAGAGCGACAGAGAGAGAGAGAGAGAGAGGTGCCTAGTGTTAAGGCAGACTGGGGGGGCGTGGAAAAGGGGAAACTGGGGACATTGGTGGTGGGAAATGTACACTGGTGAAGGTTGTTGGAACATTATATGACTGAGACCTAATCATGAATAGTTTTGTAATTGTGTATCTCAGTGTGATTCAATTAAAAAATAATTTTTAATGAATTTGATCACAGTCACGGTCCTCCCGTTATTCATCGATTTGCTCGAGCGGGCCCAGTAACGTCTCCATCATGAGACTTGTTACTGTGTTTGGCATATTGAATATGTCACAGGTAGCTTGCCAGGCTTTGCCGTGCGGGTGAGATACCCTCGGTAGCTTGCCGGGCTCTCTGAGAGGGGCGGAGGAATCGAACCCGGCTTGGCCATGCCGGGTGTGCGCAAGGCAAATGCCCTACCAATGTGCTTTCACTCCAGCCCTTAATGAATTTAACAAAGAAAAAAATAAAACTTAGAAAATCGATTTACTCAAGCGTGCCCAGTAATGTCTCCATTGGAGACTTTGTTGTTACTGTGTTTGGCATAACAAATACGCCATGGGTAGCTTGCCAGGCTTTGCCCTGCGGGCGAGATACTCTCGGTAGCTTGCCAGGCTCTCCGAGAGGGGTGGAGGAATCGAACTCGGGTCAGGCATGTTGGCTGCCTGCAAGGCAAACGCCCTACCCGCTATGCTATCGCTTCAGCCCAAAACTTAGAAAATTTTTAAAATAAGTAAATAAACGTACCTTTGAAAATATGTCTAGGGGGGCTGAAGCGATAGCACAGCAGGTAGGCCATTTGCCTTGCACCTGGCTGACCCGGGTTTGATTCCCAGAATCCCGTATGATCCCCCAAGCACCGCCAGGAGTAATTCCTGAGTGCATGAGCCAGGAGTAACCCCTGTGCATCTCCAGGTGTGACCCAAAAAGAATATATATATATATATATATATATATATATATATATATATATAGGCTGGAGCAATAGCACAGCGGTAGGGCGTTTGCCTTGCACGCAGCCAACATGGCCGACCCGAGTTCGATTCCTCCGCCCCTTTCGGAGAGCCCGGCAAGCTACCAAGAGTATCTCGCCCGCACAGCAAAGCCTGGCAAGCTCCCCGTGACGTATTCGATATGCCAAACACAGTAACAAGTGTCACGATGGAGACGTTACTGGACCCGCTCGAGCAAATCGATGAACAATGGGAGGACCCTGACTGTGATATATATATATATATATATATATATATATATATATATATATATATGTCTAGGAAGCAAGCCAGAAGATGTAACTCAGCAATAAAGCTCTCACTTTGCATGTGTGAGGCCCTGGGTTGATCCCTGCTCAGGAAAGGGTAAGGAACTAAGTTGTAAGCCAGCTAATTCAGTGAAAGGACCTGTAATTGCTGGTGAAATTCTTAGCACCTTTCCTCTGATCAACTCCTGATCTCTGGTTCCTAAAGTCAGTGTTGCAGGATTCTCTCTGGAGAAACTAAAAAGGAAAGAGTATAGCAACTGAAAGGCATTTCTTGACAAAATTGTCTCCCATGATACAACATGAAGTCTCCCACAAGGTCCTCCAAGAGCAATTTAAAGTCTATTTCTTAAGAAGAAATGGTCAGAGAGCACTCCCCGACACTGAGGCAAGCCTTGCACAAGAAAAGCAGAGATCCAAACAAGTCTAAAATCAAAGGAAGGTAATAAATTCCTCTGTAAACTCAACATTTTCAGTTAATTTAAATTAAACAAGACTAGTTTCCAAAGCAAAAGAATAAATAAAAATAAAAGCAAAGGAAGGGGTTACAGAATAATCAGGGATTCAGTAAAGAGCTGAAGAAAGTTTTGTGTTTTTTTAATCCACTTCTATTACTATCCACAGAGAAGTAAATGAAAATGTTGTACTCAGTAAGTTCAAGGAAAGGGAAATATCAGAGAACAAGGAGAAGCCATTGAAGACTAAACTGGATATTTTAGAAAGCATTTCGGGAAAATAGATGAGGAAATTATACAAAAAGTATGCTCGAGATGGAAAATGTGAGAAAAAAATTTTAAAAGTCAGGTAATAGGTTCTGAAGCTTTTGGTTAATAGGGAATTCCAGATAGAGAGACAGGGAAGAAACTATAAAATTTTGTAGACCTGAAGGGTATGAATCTTCTGATTAAAAGTGCCCTTGGGACACTTAGGAGAATGAGTGGACACTCGTGCAGGTTAAAGCTTCTGCTCTCTGATTTTCCCACCTTTTTTTCCTTTCGAGTTTTCTTCGTGGGTATCTCATGCTCTTCCCCCGACTAATGCTATTCCTCTGCTCTCTGCCCTCCACTTCGACCTTGCCTTGATTCCTTCCTCCTCCATGCGTGGAGAAGCCAGTTCTGTGATTGTGTCAACTTCTACTAGTGTTTCTCAAGGTCTAAATCCAGCTGTCCCTTTCTCTTAACTCCAGAACTTCCCACCCTGCTACCTGCCTGCCTACACTTGCCTATAAATGAACTAATTGCCTTATTTATTGCTCTTTTTTTCCATCAGATTAACTCATATTTTTCTTCTTGTATTCTCTGTGACAGTGAATGACACTCCTAACCATTTTGTAAGCTAGAAATTTCAGTGTCTCAGGCTCATGATCAGCTGCTGTCACTCACTCACATTCAGTCCTTATGTCCTTGGTGGTGAGCCCATGTAATCTTGGGTGCCAGTCCTATTCACCCATAGCCATGACGGGACAGCCGAGCTCAGGAACCTGCAGAGGAATTCTGTAGCTTTCTTTCTTTTTCTTTTTTTTTTTTTTTGACTTTTTGGGTCACACCTGGCAATGCTCAGAAATTATTCCTGGCTCTGTACTCAGGCTCTGTACTCCTGATTGTGCTTGGGGGACTCTATGGGATGCTGGAGATCAAACCTGGGTCAGTAGTGTTCAAGGCAAATGCTCTACCCACTGTACTAGCCCTCCAGCTAATCTGTAGTTTTATTTATCTGAACACAAATAAGCTACTAAAAACACTGATCCTGAAGATAGTGGATTGGTTGAAATATTCAAAGACACAGGCAAGGGGTCTGAAACACAGTCCAGGGTTAAAGCATATGCCTTGCATTTGGCCAACTCCAAATCAATTGTCTGGAAGTCCCTCACTATGACCCAGGTGACCCAGGTTATTTGGCGACCATGGGACCTGAGAAGTTCTGCATTCTCAGCCGTGGCTTAGAACTGTGTCTACTTGGCTGAGCATCTCTAGACACCACTTGGGCGGCATCCTTCCGCCTCCCTCAAATAATAAACACACGTTCCACTCCAGGCATACAGAAGAATAAATTTTCAAGTAGATTTTGATTGCATAATTTCAACAGCCAAGTTAGCTAACTTCTATAAAGCATCAGTGTCCTCATCTGGAATATGGGAAGAATAACATTACCTGCCTCAGTCTCACTGAGCTGGCATGAGAATTAAATGACTTAATATCTGTGAAGTGCTTGGCACATTGTGAGTGTTAAAAAAAAATTAGACTCAGGAAGTATATGCTGTGTTCATGGTATTCTGCACAGATGAGTCAGCAGAATTGAGTTCATGTGCAAAATGGTATAAAATAGATGAAGAATGTATTTTCATAAGCTCGTATATTTAAGAAGAACAGAGACATGGATTGCTTGATTTGTTAACTGTGTTTTTCCTAGTTTGAAAAAGACAAGCAGCATGATATTCGGTCATTCTTTTCACCAAAACCAAAGAAAGGACAATTGGTGACTTCCTGCAGTGAATCAAGTATATCCCAGGAGGAAAACACTGGAGCGCCAGCCGATCCTGGCACAACAAGCACAAGAGATTTTGTTGATAGTGAAAGTAATTTGGAACCTGAAGCTAAAAGATTGAAATCGGACCAACACTGCAGGCCCTCGGCAGGGAAACCATCGAGACCTAAGCAAGACAAAGGTCCACTCCTGCCCCAGGATCAGGAAGCTGAGGCCCAGACAGCTGCCCTTCCCCTTCCTAAAATGGGCTGGCAATGTGGATTCTGCACCTATATCAATAACTCATTGTTACCTTATTGTGAGATGTGTGAGAATCCTCAAGGCAGTACTGGTGAGTCCATGGAAGGTGACCGGAGGTGGGGCTGGTGACAGTATCTTCAGATAACTCATGCTTTCAGCGACAATTGCCATTATCAGAGGTTAGGCTGACTTGGAACTGACTTTAAGTTTTAAGCTTGATAAGATTTCACAGAGTGAAGACTGTGAATTTTTCTCCCTGTGGAATGTGAAAAGCTCCTAGTTCTGTCAAAAATGTATATCCCCAAGCATCTGTGACATGGCATTAATTTGGCACAAATGGACATTTCTGATTAATGCCAGCAGGATGTGAATTCAGTGGGCAGAAGTAGCAGCTTCGTTGCTATGGCAACAAATATGCCTTATAGTCAAAGACCTGCTGTTTCTTTCCTCTGTAGATTAATACTTGTTTTTAAAGAAATTATCATTTATTTTTTGTTCAAGGAGCGAATAATCCAGTGTAGCATCTTTGACTAGTAAAATATACACTGTGCCATTTTATCTTGCATGACACGTCAGAATAATTTCTCTATAGATCTTTTAAGAACCAATTTGTTATGTTTTATGAGTTTATTGTTTTCCAGACCTGCTATAGTAAAAGAAGAAATAGTAAATATAACTCAGAATATAGTATTTTATACAATTATATGCCATGTTCTTTTTGCTTTTGAGAATTTAATAGTGACTGAGGTTGTATTAAGAAAAAGATCATGAAAGGATGGAGAGGTAGTAGGGAGGTTAAGGTGTTTGCCTTGCCCGTGTCTGACCTGGGCACAATCCCTGGCACTGCATATGTTCCCCTGAACCTTTCCAGGAGTGATCCCTGAGTACAAAGCTGGGAATAAGTCCTGAGCACTGCTAGGTATGCCCCTTCTTCCCCCCAAAATGAACGAGAAGAAAAATACCAATGAGTATTTCTTTTGTTTCCAATTTCTTTTTTAATATTTATTAGTGAAACACCATGAAGTACAGTTGTAGACTTACAAATTTTTGTGCTTGGGTTTCAGTTATACAGTGATTGAGTACCCATCCCTCTACCAGTGCCCATTCTCCACCACCACTGATCCCAGTATCCCTCCCACCCCCCACCCCACCCTGCATCTATGGCAGGGCATTCCCTTTTGCTCTCTCTCTCCTTTTGGGTGCTGTGGTTTGCAAAAGAGGCACTGAGTGGCAATCATGTTCAGTTTATAGTCTACTTTCAGCATGCATCTCCCATCCTGGGAGGATCCTCCCAACACCTTTTATTTGGTGCTCCCTTCCTCTATCTGAGCTGCCTTTCCCCCAGCAAGTGCAGCTGGCCTTCAAGCCATGGAGTGAACCTCCTGGTATTTATCTTGGCTATTCTTGGGTGTTAGTCTCCTATTTTGTTACCTTATATTCCCCAAATGAATGCAATCTTTCTGTGTCTGCCCTTTCTTTCTGACTCATTTCACTTAGCACGATACTTTCCATGTAGTACCACTTGTATGTAAATTTCATTTAGAGATCATTTTTGAGGTCACTAAAAATTCCAAGTTGACAGTTTTGGGAAACTAGAAGAAATCATTTTATCTTTTGCAATAATTATATCTATAATTATATAATTTGCTCTTCCATCATTAAATCCTGCAGAGTATCAACAAAGATTCAGCTAAGAAATAAGCTCTCTGAGCATGTATTTCCTTCCTGTCTGTCCTGCTTTGCTCTGTCTTGGTTTTAAGCTATGAGAAACTATAATCAGTAGTTGAGTCTTTTCCTCTTTCAGTCCTCGGTGTTGCAACCAAAGCTGACAAGTCCACCATCTGGATGGTTATATTTGTAAGGTGGACACCTGTTGTCTGTGAACTAAATTGGAATCACAAACTTATTCTTATAATATCTCTCATAATATGCATTATCTCATTCAATTTCCAACTGCTACAGGCAACAAAAATAAAATGTCTCGTGACTATAAAATAATGTCAGTTCACATCAAGTATTTAAGTTGAGTGATTTGTCAACAAAAACCATAGTTTAGTAGGTTCTGAATTTTACTTTATTTTATTTTGGGGGTTTTGGGCCACACCCAGCAATGCTGAGGGGTTACTTTTGGCTCTGCACTCAGGAATCACTCCTAGAGGTGCTTGGGACACTGTGTGGGATGCTGGGAATTGAACCAGGTTCATCATATACATGGCAAGCACCGTCCCCACTGTATTGTCTCTCTAGCTCCCAGTTCTGGTTTTTCTTTTTGTATGTTACCCTATGTAGCAATGAAAACTTGTGGACTCATGATTTTATGATAAAACTGTTAACTAACCTAAACAGTTTGAATTCTTCCTAAATTCAAGACCTGCCCCACCTCTTCTGGAACTCCTCAGAGATTGTCCTGCTGACTTATGCTCTTTTAGCCCAACCCCATACTCAAAGCAAGGTTTAATTCTTTACTGGAAGTCACTCAAGTTATTTATTTGTTTACTGTTTATTATCTACCTCTGCCACTTAAAATGGAATTTCTAAGAAGCGGGACTCATCTGTCTATCTGTCTCATTTCCTACTGCTTCTCCTGCATTTAGTGATTCACTCCCAATAAATGTGCCAAACAAAACAAATTTTTTGGTTTTTTTTTTGCTTTTTGGGTCACACCTGGCGATGTTTAGGGGTTCCTCCTGGCTCTGCACTCAGGAATTACTCCTGGCGGTGCTCGGGGGACCCTATGGGATGTGGGGAATCGAACCCATGTCGGCCGTGTGCAAGGTAAACGCCCTCCCCGCTGTGCTATCGCTCCAGTCCCAAAACAAATTCTTAATGTGTTGGGTTTTTTTTAACAAGAACTTGCTATGATTTTTTTTTCAATTTTTTAAAAACTAGGTTTAGAGTAAATAATGACTTTGTCTACCTTTAAGCACAAATTGTTAATTTGATTTCAACTCTTCTTCTGCTCTTAGATAGCTGCAACCATACCCAGGAGAAAAAGAAAAGCAAGGTAGATGATTCTAAGAATGACACTTCTGAAAAAGTTCAGCCTCATTCTGATTGTGAAAAACGAGCCCTTCCACAGTCAGAGCCTGAACCACTGCCTGAAAGCAAAGAAGAAACACCGACAACACCGGAACCGGGAGATGGACTCACACCCGAGCCCAGTGCAAGTAAGTCACATTTCCATCTCCAATGTCCAGAGGATGAAGATGTACTTGACACTTGCTACTGTTAGTACCCTGGTGAGTCCTGCCTTCTCCCAGGTGCCTTGTGTTTGCTTTTATTGAAAAATCCCAATCGTGGGTAAGGGAGATTCAAAGTGCATGTATTGCAGAGGGGAGCCCTGGGTTCAATATCCAGCACCTCCTGATCCTGTGAGCACCTTCAGGAGCAACCCCTGACTATTAACATCCACTTAATAAGTCATTCATTCTTTACACGTAAATTTCTTTTAAATGATTATGGTTTGTGTGCAGACAGTGGTCTCAGCATGGCGGTGTCTGGTTCTGGAGGTCTTCAGCATGAAGCTACCGGCAGAGGAACAAAGGCATGCGGGCCCCGGGGCTGAGATCTCCAAGCCTACTTGAATCTGGGGCTGAGCATCTTCCACCCAGATCCTCCAAATTCCAGTAGGCGGGGTCACACCCACCAACTGGCCCCCTGGCGCCGTGTAATCCCATCAACAGCCAAGACTCAGAGACTATAAAACCCAGCTCCTGGTAGCGCGCGGCCGCATTTGACATTTTATCATCTTATTCCTACTTTGGACAAACTGGTAGGCTACCGAATGTAACCTGCCCACACCACAGAGTCTGGCAAACTCCCTGTGGCGTACCCAATATGCCAAATACCAGTAACAATGATGGGTCTCATTCTCCTAACCCTGAAAGAGCCTTGAATATGGCACTTTTTAAAAAATCTCAGGGCTAGGACAAAGGAGACGTTACTGGGGCCTGCTTGAGGCAATCGACAAATAACAGGATGGTCGTGGTCGTGATCGTGATTATGGTTTATTTGCTTGTTTTGTTTTGGGGTCATACCCAGCATGTTGGGGACTTCTCCTGGCGCTGTTCTAAGGGTCTCTGTCTCTGTCTCTGTCTCTGTCTCTCTCTCTCTCTCTCTCTCTCTCTCTCTCTCTCTCTCTCTTTCTCTCTCTCCTTTAATTTCTTCATTTTACAAAGTAGTTCACAGTATTTGATTACATTTAATATTCAAACACCAATCCCACCACCATTACACCTTCCCACCACCACATTTTGGGTGTTTCCACCCCAAACCCTAATCCCTGCTCCAAAGCAGAACTGAAATAATATAATATTTCCCTCTAAGGTTGGTTGTCTCCTGTTTTGAATCTCATCAAATGTGGTGCAGTACTCTTGGACTGTGGGTAGAGTGTGTCCTATGATGTGTTGTGCAGCCGCAAAAGCAGACGCTCAGTCAAGGGAAGGGCTTACTCGTGGGTGAGGCTCGGCCCAAGCATGTGGAGAGCAGCTGTGAGCAGGGCGGCAGTTGAGTTCTGGAGGTTTTCGGCTGCCGAAGCTGGGTCCTTTGGGGTGGGGAAGAGGTCTCACCCGCCCCACTCTGGAGCTCCCCAAGTGAAACAGCCTGGCACGGGGTCCATCCATCGGCATGGTTATAGCAAACATCATGTTGCATGTCACTGTCAGATATACAGTTACAAAACTGTTCATGATCGGGTTTCAGCTATACAATGATCCGATCACCATCCCTCCACCAGTGTACATTTCTCACCACCAGTGACCCCAGTGATCCCTTCTGCCTCCCCTTGTCCCACAACCTGCCTTGGTGGCTCTATGTCAGGCAGTGGCAGGCACTTTTCACTCTCTCTCTCTCTCTGTCTCTCTGTCTCTTTCTCTGTCTCTCTATCTCTGTCTCTCTCTGTCTCTCTGTCTTTCTCTCTCTCTCTCTCTCTCTCTCTCTCTCTCTCTCTCTCTCTCTCTCTCTCTCTCTCTCCTTTTGGGCACTAGGGTCTGCAGTACAGATACTGAGAGGTTATCCTTTTTGTTCCTTCTTATCCAGAGTAATCATTGATCATTTCCAACTTTTTCATAATGGGCTCTTCTCTCTAGCAACTATTTGATATATTTTTTAATTGAGGGATCATCTGAAAATAATTTTTCAAATAAACTTAATTTTTCCTGCTGTCCCTTTCTTTGTTGATAGCACAGCGGGTAGGGCGTTCGCCTTACAAGCAGCCAACATGGCTGACCCGAGTTCGATTCCTCTGCCCCTCTCGGAGAGCCCGGCAAGCTACCGAGAGTATTCGATATGCCAGACACAGTAACAACAAAGTCTCCAATAGAGACGTTACTGGGCCCGCTCGAGCAAATCGACAATCAACGGGAGGGCCTTTACCTTTACCTTATTGTTGCAAAATCTAGGGGCCACGTGCAGACCTGGTTCTGGCGCTCACTGGGGTCTCACTCCAGCTTGCGGTATTTGCACACATGCTGGCCAGGGCTCATGCCCTGTGTTGGGGTGATCATATGCATACACAGGGCAGTGGTGCAGCCCAAGAGTGCTTGTGACAGGGCAGTCTCAGAGAGTGAAGCCACCAGGTCCGCTCAGCATGCCAGGTCTCAGTCTCAGGGCCTCACTCTTCCCAGACAGTAGCCATGGACTCGTGTCTCTGTGCCCTGAAGAAAATGGCTAAACAAATTTAAAGACGTTTTAAGAATTTGTCATTCAAAGACTATATGAAATCAGGCTGCTTCTGAAACTCAGCATGTAGTGCTTTAGATGTATTTACTTTTTGATTGATTCTGTTCATTATTTGTACCTGCAGTGCTTGGCAGATGTCAGCTTAAGCATCACACGTATATCATTCTCATTATGGGACAGCCGACAGAAAGATTGTGGGTACTTTAGGATTATTTATTTACATTATTTTACTGATTATTTTTACCCAGAAATTGATGTTCTTATTTTTACCACCCTGAAATTGTTGAGAAGAGACAGTTGGCATTTTTCCTTGGCACAGATAAATTTCTAAAAATGTCCATTGCTTTAAAATGAAATGTTTGGTTCCAGAGAGAGAACAGGGTTAGGGCACTGGCCTTTCATGCAGCTCACTACACTTTGATCCCCAGCACTACGGATGGTCTCCAGAGCACCACCAGGTGTGATCCCTGAGCACAATGCCAGGAGTAAGTCCTAAGTACTGCCAGGTGTGGCTCAAACATCAAAAAAGTAAAACATAAAAAATAAAATGCTCCTGTCATGGTGTCTCACTAATAAAAATTTAAAAAACAATAATAAATAAATAAAATAAAATGCTCCTATCCATTCCTGCATGATTTCAAGAACATTGTGAAATGGTTTGAGGCCTTGCCCTGCTCCATCCAGAGTAAGATTATAGAAATTTTGGGCAAATGTTTAAAAAATGCAGTGTTTGCTTAAGAATATCTGAGTTTAGGGGCATTTGTCTTTTTTTTTTTCCCATGAACCTTTCTTCCCTCTCTAATTTCACAATGTTCCTACCAGATGATATCTTGAAATAGGTCCTGTGTGGATCTGTTCACTTTAGCATCCTCTGAATAGACAGTGCAGGCTGATATCGGGCCGTTTTTGATTCTGGTTTCCTTGTGCCTGCTGTGACTACCTCTCCATGCCAGCAGAGCTCGGTGGGACAGCAGTAGCTCAGGGCACTAACACTGGCAGTCAACAGCTGGAGACTGGCATCCACCGTGCCAAGACTCTTCTCTTATGGCAGGGAAATAATGACTTGTTCATTATGTTTGCATCTTGATGTTAACTTTACTTATCAATGCTTTTCAAAAGTCACTGCCAACATGTTGTATTGTGCTAGTGAAATTTGCATTGGCTTCAATTATTGCAGTCAGTACTGGCCTTCCCTCCTACCTATCCTTTCATCCCTTTTCAGAATTCTCAGATCAGTTGGGGTAGGAACTCCACACAAATGACACGCTTCACAACTCCCTGAAAAGCAAACAGGAGATGAGGAGACCTATGATGAAGAATGCTTCTTCTGGAACTATAGCTTTGTTCTTGGGGTCTGGCGGTTGATTATATTTCCAAAAAGAGGCATCATGTGTAGTCTTGGACTATTCAGTTACATTTGATGGAAACAATGAAAAGAGAAATATGTCTTCTGATGTAGCTGCTAGCTACCAAGCTGACTTGGAACTGTTCTGATGTTGCTTTTCATCAAAGAATGGCCTCTGATCTTTAAGTATCCATATAGTAACCATAGTTTTTCAAATATAGATGCACAGTGATTATGCAGTGCACTTATTTTGTGTACACTAAGAAAGTAAAAAAAATCTCTAAAATGTAATACACTAAACTGAGTGAAATAAGTCAGAAGGAGAAAGACAGACACAGAATGACTGCACTCATTTGTGGGATATAAGAAAAAAAAAATAGTATGAGACTAACACCCAAGAACAGTAGAAGCCAGGAGCAGGACAAATGACCTTCAGTTGTAAGCCTGCCTCAATGGTGGGAGAGGGCAGCTGGAATAAAGAAGGGACCATTATGATAATGATGGTCGGAAGGGATCTCTCTGAATGGGAGATGTGTGCTGGAAGTGGGCAGAGAACCAAACATGATGACCTCTCAGTACCTGTATTGCAAACCATAATGCCCGGGGGGAGAGAGACAGAGACAGAGACAGAGGGAGAGAGAGGAAAGGAAAGAGAAAGAGAGAAAGTGCTTGCTAGAGAGAGAAGATAGAGAGTGAGGGAAGGAGGGAGAGAGAGGGAAGGAGAGAGATAGAAAGTGCCTGCTAGAGGCAGGCTGGGTGGGGAGGTGGCGGGAGGGATACGGGGAATACTGGTGTTTGGAAACGGACACTGGTAGAGGTATGGGTGTTGGAACATTGTATGACTTAGACCCGATTATGAAAGCTTTGTAACTGCATCTCACTGTGATTTAGTTAAATATATATATATATACATATATATGTATATATATATATCAAATGTGATACAACACCTTCACAATAGATAGCCCAGACCACGTTCCGTGTTTTTTTGACATTTTCTTTTTCCCATTTGTTCTGAGGATTTGGCAGTTCCTCCTGCCTCCATATATCTTCTTCCTTGAAAAGAATTAAAGTTTTGCTTTTTCCTCGAGTCATGCATATATAAATCAAACCAATGGTTCCCTACTCTGTATCCAAGATTTTAGTATATATAATAACTATTCATTTCAATACCAAATGAGTAATGAAACATTTTGAAGATATTCCAGTTTATTTTTTATTTGAGCGTACATATTCAATATTCATTTCTCATATGTAAAATATTCTCAAATATTTACATTGTAGTTTATCCTTAGAAACTTTAATTCACTTGATGTGACTGTTTATTCAGTGAGCAACTTTCTTGAAGACATTTTGAAGATAATTAAAATTTAACGCTTGTAGTAACAATGCATATACCTCAGATGTGGTGTTGGCAGTCTGTTTTATTTTTTGGGGGGGTGGAGGGATTGGAGGCACACCTGGCAGTGTTCAGGGCTTACTCCTGGCACTGTGCTCAGGAATCACTCTTGGCAAGGCTCAGGAAATCATATGTGATACTAGGGAACAAACCTGGTTTGGGTACAAGCAAAGAAAGCACCCTTTCTGCTGTACTATCTCTCCACTCAAGTTAGTCTTGTAACAATGACTAAGCTCCTGGTGATCAGACAGCATCTTACCTGGCCACCTGGCCCACAAGGATTGTGAAATGCCACCATTATTGACTCTAAGACATGACAGTTTCTTGAGTCAGAAGGAAAGAGACAGATGTAGAATGACTACGTTCACTGTCACTGTATCACTGTTATCCCATTGTTCATCGATTTACTCAAGCGGGCACCAGTAACTTCTCTGTTCCTGCCAGCCCTGAGATTTTAGCAGCCTCTTCTTACTTGTCTTTTCCCAATGATTGGAGGCTCTTTCGGGGTCAGAGGAATGAGACCTGTTGTCGTTACTGGTTGTGGCATATAGAATATCCCATGGGGAGCTTGCCAGGTTCTACCTGTGCAGACGGGATACTCTCAGTAGCTTGCCGGGCTCTCTGAGAGGCATTTATTTATATATTTCTCTCTATGATTTGTTGCCTACTGTCTGAACCCCATGAAATATGGCGTGGCAATTATGAAAAATGGGTAGAAAGTGTCCTATGAAGTGTCATGTGGCCGCTTCACGGCCGCAAGGTCTGGAAAGCTGCCTGGAGTGTGGCGGCAGTTGGGCAGTGGAGGTCGGCTGCCAGGGCTGGGTCTCTTGGAGCAGGAAGGGCTCCCGCCTGCCCCACTCTGCGGCACCACGAGTGAAAACAGCCTGGCGCAGAGACTACATTCATTTGTGGTATATAACATATATGTATAGTAGAAGAATAATATCTATAGCCAGGATAACGGGTTAAGAGGACTGGTCAGTGGTTGGAACTAAGAACAAGTGTGTGGGGGGCTGAGGGTAGAGGAGATAGAGAAGAGATTCCTGTGACAATAATATCTGGAATGATCACACTGGACAAGATCTGAGGGTTAAAAGTAGGTAAGGGTGGGGCTGGAGTGATAGTACAGCGGGTAGGGCACTTGCCTTGCACCCGGCCGACCCGGGTTTGATTCCCAGCATCCCATATGGTCCCTTGAGCACCACCAGGAGTAATTCCTGAGTGCAAAGCCAGGAGTAACCCTGTGCATTGCCAGGTGAGAGCCCAAAAAAAAAATAGTAGGTAAGGGATATTCTTGATAACCTTTAAGTATCAGTATTGCAAACCACAATGCCCAAAAAGCAGGGCGGGGGGAGAGAGAGAGAGAGAGAGAGAGAGAGAGAGAGAGAGAGAGAGAGAGAGAGAGAGAGAAAGAGATTCCTGCCAAAGAGGCAGGCGGGGGGGGGGGCGGGTAATGGAAGCGAACCTGGGGACACAGATGCTGGGGAATATACACTAGTGGAAAGATGGATTTTGGAATACTATATGACTGAAATCCAATCATGAACTGAATTTGCTCTAAAAAAATTAATACATTTAAAAAATTAAAAATTAAAAAATGGCAATTTCAGAGATGTTCAAGAGGAGAGGAAATATAGAATTTTGAAACTGTGAAATAATGGGAGTCATCCACAAGCCACATTCCCACAGTGACCTATGCCTTCCTTAGAAAAATGAAAATTTGATCTGACACAGCCAGGTTGCACAGAAAACCAGTCACTGATGTCCAGTGCTGGGGAAATGGCTTTAACAGTCTCTGGGGAACTGTGGCAAAAGTTTGAAGTCTATTGCTCTGTGCCGGGTTACTGCACTTAAATCCTCCTAATGGTGGTGTATCCATGAGCATGTTAACATTCCCCAGACTCCTCTGCTGTAACAAACACCACTTACCTCTGCAAGTACTACTCTATGTACTGAGAACAGTGTCCAGCATTGTTTAAATGCTTGGTAAAAGTTAACTAACAGTTATGAGATAGATCTGCTTTCATAACTCTCATTTCTATAGATCAGTGAGACTAAGGTAGGAATAAACATAGAGGTTCTCAGAAAAGAAATTCATGCTCTCATCTATCCGCCTTGGTGAATGTGAAGCATCAAACAACTGGAACAGACATTGAAGTGGCCCTCAGCGGGCTCTGTTGCTTCATGGTCATTCACTTCCAATGTGAATCCACTGTGCAGTGCAGATACTAGACTTTTCCAGATGGCTAAGTAATCCTAATGGCAGGCGATTCTATCTTATGTCTAATTTCTACCTTTTTAATCTAATTCTGAATTTTTTTTTCTTCCTCATTGCGCCATTAGCAAAAGTACAGAATAGCTGGTTACCATGTAAGCCAGGAGGCTCTTAAGTCACCTACCAGGATAGTTTATTTCAAGCCCAGATACACATTCTTTGTCATTGTCAAATACAATATTGATATACTTGACATAGCTATTTTACTGTTCTAACCCACAGAAAATTCAAGTAAGCAATTTGCATAAAACCTTCAGATTCTCTTTTATCTTTTTTAGTAGACGAATCAAAGAGTTCTGAGGCTCTGCCTGTCTATGACACCTTAATGTTTTGTGCAAGTAAGAATACTGACCGAATTCACCTCTATACTAAGGTAAGCGTGTGTGCGGATTCTTAACTAGAAACATACTACAGTTATTTTTAAATGTGTCGATAGAGATATTTAATTGTGTTCACAATACGATTGGAATCTCGTTCTCCTCAGAGCTAATTCTCAAATTCCTGTGTTGAATGAAAAGGCAATGAGGGACAAAGTGGCATAGTAGTCAAGAGAGTGGGCTCTGGACTTACATTGCTTTGGTTCAAATCTCCAACTATTCATCTCGGACAAGTCGTTTAACTGCCTTGTGCCTATTGAATCAATGGTAAAATGGTGAGGAGTTGTTGCAAGTTAAAATGAGCTGATTTTTGTAAATCAATCAGGAGAGTAAGTACATAACTCTCAATAAATGTTGGCTCCTGCACAGATAATTTGTAGCAACAGCAGCAGTTGCATCTTTCCAGAATTCTAAGCCCTCTGCTCTTGTTGAGTTAACTCTAGGAGGTTGTGATAATATGAAAACTCCAGTTCCAAAGGTGGAATAGTGTACAAAAAGGATTTCTTCACACTTTCGAAACTTTTGAGAACCCCAAAGAGCTTTTGTTTATGTGAGTTATGTCAGTTGACTTTTACTGTGTTTGAAATTGAAGTGGAAACTTTCACTTCAAAATACTCATCTTTTAATGAAAAGCAGTAGTGGGGCAGGGGATGGGGGGTTCCCCAGGTCCCAGGAGGGCCTGGACATTCATGCTCTGGCCTTAGAGTTCATTGTCAACACCACAAGGCCTCCCGTTCAGCACTGCCAGGTATGGCCCTGGAGGTCTCCAAGTACAGCTGTGTATAATCCTTGATCTCTCTGGCACAGGTGGATTTGCACAGCAGCATCTGAGCTGGTTGGCTACATATCACTAGAAGTGGCCCTGGCATCCCCTGCCCCACCAATAAGAAAGATAAAAGAGTAGCCATAATGTGGAACAAAGGATGTAGCTCAGAGATAGTGTATCTCTTCATATATATAAAGCCTTTTTTTCAACCCCACCCAAAAGAATAGTAATGACAAATCGATTATTTATATACATCGGTTATACTTATGAAAACAATTATTTCTTTTAATGTTCCTGAGAAGAGAACAATCATTTTATATACTTAGCAACAACTTAAGACAGTAGGATTCTGCATTGCAAACCACAACAACCTAAAGGAGAGCGAGAATAAAAAGGAATGTGCCTGCTATAAAGGCAGGGTTCAAGCTTTGTGGAAAGGAGTATGGAAAATTCTCAAGAAAATAAAAATAGAGGGATGGAGAGAGAGTACTGTGAATAAGGTGTTGGCCTTGCACCTGGCTGACATGGGTTCAATCTTCAACACCATACGTGGTCCCCAGGTTTCATCAGGAGTGATCCATGAACAGATAGCCAGGAGTGAGCTCTGAGCACATTCAGATATCCTTAAATACATATCACTAAACACAAACCCCCAGTCTAAAAATAAATAAAAACAGAACTTCCATATGTACAAATGATTCCACAGGAGAAAATCACATAATTGGAGGCCGTGGCACAGGACTGGGGAGCCAAGTGGTAGCCTGGGGAGAGGGGGTAGTGGCGTCACAGGAAGGAAATAGGTAGTGCTCTGCTGCTAAGTTTAACACCTTATTTTTAAATACCTCGAGTACGCTTTTTTTCTCTTGAATTTTGGGTCACACATGTGGTGCCCAGGGATTTCTCCTGACTCTGTGCTTATGGCAGAGACTCAGGGGACCACACGGGGTGCCAGAGAGTGAGCCTGGTCCACCGTGTGCAAGATAAATACCCTGCCCATTGCACTATCTCTTTGGCCCCCTCAAGTACATTCCTATGAATGTTCTAAATATTTCCTTATCCCTTACCATAAGCTGTTCTTGAGTTTTCTAAGCACGCCACACTGGACAGGTGAAAGGTAAACTGCTCTCTCCACAGCTACAATAGAGGTGAGATGGAAGCTTTCCTTTTTACCTTAGACGAAGTTAAAATATAGAAATAGAAAAGCATCAATGCGTTGCCTAAAAGGACACCCTTAAAAGGAAGATCAGTGACCGAGGCTTAGAGTTGCCCCCCACGAGTGGCTCTCTGGCACGGCCATGGCCCCAGAGGCACCCTAATTCAGAACCCAGCAGCTTTTGGCAGAAATGTGAATGGACTATGCATTGAGCTATGGCGCCGTGCCCCTCCCCCGCCCCCGGGAGGGAAAGGGTATCTGTCTCTTCCGCCTTTTTCCCCCCCAGCAGCACAGTGGCTACCGCCTCAGAGTTTATTGGACAGCCAGGTATGAGACGGCAGTGACAGGCAACTGTGGCCTCATGGGATGGGGGGCAGAACCAGCACAGCCTTCCCGCCCCGCCAAGGCTGAGAGTGGCCCCCCACGAGTGGCTTTCTGGCACAGCCGTAGCCCCAGAGACACACAAACCAATCTCATAACTATACAGCTTTTGGCAGAAATCCCTCCAGACTTAATTAGTAAAATATCAGAAATCCAAAATCGATATCATATGGTCTTCATAACCAGCAATAGAAAACAAATTGTTTTACAATGCCTTTTCAGCAGGTCTGATTGTTGGGGGGAAATTCCAAATAATAATGGTGCATCTTTTGTCGAAATAATGAATGTAACCAAAGTAGAGAGTTAAGTGGAAATCATCTGCCTCACAGGCATCGGGAGAGGTGGGATAGGGGGTATATTGGGGTTCTTGGTGGTGGAAAATATGCACTGGTAAAGGGAGAGGTGTTTGATCATTATATGACCCGAGACTTAAACCTGAAAGCTATGTAACTGTTCTCACGGTGATTCAATACATAAATTAATTTAAAAATAAAGATCAGTAACACAAGGTCAGCATCCTCTGTTATATTTACACATACCACTGCAGGGCTGTTCCTCTCACCCAGAATCTCAATTCAGAGTTCAGAATAACAATTACAGGGTGTCATGCCTTTCGGTTGGTAAATCTGGGTGCTTTTGTCTCCAGGAAAGAATGATCCCCTATTTGAAAGTGAATGAATTGGGGACCAGGAATGTGAACTCAGTGGTATAGCACGTGTCTTCCCTGTGTATGGTCCTCAAGCTGATCCCCATTCTTCTCTCCTACACCTGCCACCCAGTATAAATTGGCATTAGATGGTTTTGCAAATAAGATGCACGGGTTCTGCCTCTTTTTCCACCAAGCCTTTTTGGGGTGCTCTGGGAGGGGATCTGAAGGGAAGCACAAGCCTCTGTCTTTGGAGCTCCCAGAAATGGGAACGGGGTGTTTTTTGTATACAAGTGTCCACCTGGTGACGGTTAGACAGAGGGGGGGCCAACCAAAAAAGGGTCTAGCTATCCTGCCTTTGCTCAGGGTCTCTTTGGGTGGTTCCTGAAGCTAGCAATACAGTAAGTCTTGACAATATTTAAATATGTAGTGTTAAGCTTTGGTTTGAAAAGTAAAATTGGAGGAGGGAGAACAAATAAACCAGTGAAGTGGGTCTTTGTCACTTGCTAATACATCAATAAATAAGTGGCAGGCTCTGACACGAAGGGACCCTATATTACCAGGATCATGTCCCATCTGGCATGATAAGTAAGATCATCATGGGGTTCACAGGAACTGTTGGCTGGGAGGTGGTGCAGAGTGGCGTGCAGATCATTCAGAATCAGCAGAGACTGGCAGAGCTGCAGTGAGACCTTATAGATTTGTTTGTTTGGTTTGGAGATCATCCCTGGCAATGTTCAAGGCTGATTTCTGGCTTTGTGCTCAGGAATCACTCCTGAGGGATTCTATGGGGATTGGGGATTGTCAGCCACATACAAGGCAAGTACGGAACCTGCTGTACTAGTGCTCAAGCCCTAACTTTATTTCTGTTTGTTTGTTTGGAGGCGGGGAGGGTCACACCTGGTGGTGCAAACAAAAAATATAACAATTACATACCTAAAATTTCTATCCGTTTGTAAGCACTTTGTTTTGGGGTTACACCGGCAATGCTCAGGGATTATTCCTGACTTTGCACTCAGGAATCAATCCTGGTGATGCTTGGGGGACCATATGGGATGCTGGGGATTGAACCCAGATCGGCTATATGCAAGTAAACGTCTTACCTGCTGTAGTATCTCTCAGGGCCCCTTTCTGTGTTATTTTCACAAAGAGACAGGGAGCCTTGTAACATTTCTTTTGACTGAGAGAACTGGAATTTGAACCCAATGCATAGGATAGAATAGATTTTCCTATATAGAAATTCTTTATTTTTCTAAAAGACTTCATGTTTAAGCCTTGTGTTTAATGGACCACATGTTTCTCCATGGGATAATTTGCCCTTATAAGCAAATACAGTGAAATAACTCAGAGCACAGTGGGGCTCTTGCCCCATAACCCCACCTGCAGCCTTTTGGGGAAGTCTTATGGGAGGAATTTATCTACATAGTGCCACCTCAGCTTTGTTTTTGGAGACTAGGTATATTGTACCCTGATGAAATTTTTTACTTTTTAAAGAATTACCAGTGCCTTATGACAAAATGTATTCATAATACCTTTCTAAACAGGATGGAAAACAGATGAACTGTAATTTCATTCCTTTGGATATAAAATTAGACCTCTGGGAAGATTTACCAGCAAGTTTTCAGTTGAAACAAAATCGCTCCCTGGTAAGAAGAGTCCCATGCATTTGTTTTAAATTAAAATTTGCCAAGTAATTTTAATGACTGTTTTGATTTTAATAAAAGCAAAGTACTTTGTGGCCTCTTACAGCATCAAATCACTGGATTTTTAAAACAGTGCGGACAGGGCCTATGAATTACCCGGTGCTAAGAATAAACGTGAAATCTGTTTCCTTGGCGAATGATCACACCTAGCTCTGCCGCTTCTGTGGATAAAATCATCCTCACATCATTTAATTTCTTATTTGCAGGATTAGAAACTGGGATATTTGTATCTGACACAATTACTTTTTATCATTGAAGGTTAAGTTCTAACTGAAAAATTCTGAGAGCAGGAATAAGAGCAGGTTGAGTTAGTCTGATTCTTTATCAAGTGCAGCCACACCCCAAGTGCCTCGGGAGTGAGGGTTTGGATCCGTGACCCACTAGCTTTCAGTCTGTGCAGGGGCTCAGCCAGCAGACAGTGCAGCAGTTTCTACAGCAAAATGGTGGTTAGGTTTATGGACACTTAAAGGAAATAAAAAATTTGCTCATGAAAAAAGTAGGGAAGGGGCTGGACGGTGGGTTAAGTGCTTGTCTTGCATGTAGACGACCTGGGTTCGATCCCCAGCATCCCGTATGGTTATCTGAGCACTGCCAGGAGTAATTCCTGAGTGCAGAGCCAGGAGCATTGCTGGGTGTGGCACAGAACCCACCCACCCACTCCAAAAAAAGAAAGAAAAGAAAAAAGTAGGGAAATGTGCTAGTGAGTTATTTTCTTTGGAATCGTATCATTCTGATTCTCAGATTCCCAAAGAATAACCAGGTAAGTAGAACTGACAGGTAAAGAGTAATTGTAACTAGGACCAAAAAAAGATAGAACAGTTTTAGGGCGCTTGGCTAGGCTGCTTCATCCCTGGCATCCCGTATGGCCCCCCAAGCCCGGAGTAAATTCGGAGCACCTCTGTTGAGGCCCAAAAACAAACAGTAAAGGAATAATGATAACCCTAGAACCAAGATATCTTAGTGACTTTTTCCTGGGATCACGAGGCAGAATCATTCTTGTAGGTTGCAGTCATGTCATTCTGTCACCCTGCCACGGCTGTGAGGCCTGCTCCTCCCAAGTCCAGATTTGTTCTTGCTCTATATGTGTGTCCTTCGCTGGGTGTCCTTAAATGAGCCTTTGGAGGATCTTTGCATTGAAAGGGACCTCTGCAGAACCAGCCTCAGCTTACAACAAAGATAAGAAAACTGTGTCAGATTGAAGCCTTCAACGGGACTCAAACGCCTAGTTGGGGATATAATAAGTCACCCATTTTCTGATGTGATCAGTGGCCTCATTTTCAAGGGAAAATGCCCGATATGCTGCTAACTCTTTTCATTATCTCCTTTTTTGCCAGATTTTGAGGTTTGTTCGAGAATGGAATAGTCTAACTGCTATGAAGCAAAAAGTAATCCGGAAAAGCGGACAGCTGTTCTGCAGCCCATTTCTTGCTTGGGAAGCGATCACAAAGCCACAGACCAAACCACACAGTACCAAAAGGTATGGGGTTGTCTGTCTTCCTTTATTTTATCTTTTTAATACCTGGCCTGGTTATTTTTAGAGGGCCTCTGGGGGCATTTTATGTAACCACTAATGAAATCCTTATGCCTTAGGAGAAAATGATACATAAAATGGCATCTTCAGCCATTGCAGCATAGATAGATATTTAATGAGTTTCAACACGTCTGCCAGGAAGCATCCAGTGGGTTAGCCCTTGCTTACCAAAAGTCCCACCCATCTGAAGAGAGCCAGAGTCGTGGACAGCCTGTGTCCTGCCACGCTGGGGACATCGCCTGTTAGAACAGCAGAGCATCCCTTGGGGGCGCCTCTGCCCTGTGTTCCTAGAGTGTGAAACCTGGTGTCCCATGCAGCAGGGGAACCGCCCTGTTAACCCCACCAGTGCCATTCAAGTCAGGAGCAGTAACCCATCATGCCAACCCAGTAGTACAAAGGCTTTTGTGTCTCCGTTTGAAACTGCTTTGTCTTTGTCATCCCAGGCTCCTTTCTAATTTCCGTGCACTTCTCTTTCTTGGCATCATATTCATCTCTGCCTCATTCAGTATGCCTGTGGATGATCTCATCCCCAACCTCTCTAAACTTTATCCTCAGCAGGAAGCAGCGATTTTGAGGAAAAGCAGTCAGCCATCCTGTAAGCCAACTCCTGCACTGGTCGAGATCACAAAGCAGCAAACCAAACAGCAGCAATGGCAATAAAAGCTCGTTCCTTTAGTTCTTGCCAACTCCACATACCTGTAATCTCTCTTTATCCTCACATTCCATCATTTTATGGTCCCTGGCCTGTTCCAGCACACAGGTGAAAACAAAAATCCATCAAAGCAGGTGAGGCAGTGCGGCTAATTAGATCAGGTCTATCCCAAAAGAGAAAATCCCCTCAGTTGTTTATAATATTGCATATGGTACAAGTGGAGGTGAGAATAAGCATTGGTGCTTGTGATCAATTGTTGTAGGTGAAAATAAGTATTAAAAAAAGATGGGGACACTCATTTACGTCAGTGCTATTATTGACATAAAAGTGTTGGCAGGATACCTTAGAAACATTTACTGGAGGTTGCTCTATTTTTCTTTTTTCTTTTTGGTTTTTGGGCCACACCTGGGGTGCTCAGGTCTTACTCTTGGGTTTGCACTTAGTGATCACTCCTGGAGGTGCTTGGGGGACCTTTTGTGGCACAGCGCCCTACCCACTGCACTCTCACTCTGCCCCTGATTTCTCTATTTTTCTAGGACAGTGATGTTATCAGCTGGTGATAGTTTTCCCTCCCGGGTGGCAGTGTTAGAAGACATTTTTTGTTTTTTCACCAGGAAGAATAGCTGGAAAATATCTTGTGGCCAGAGGCCTGTGATGCATTTAAAAATAAAAATAAAAAAATAAAACAGTGATTAGGACTGCACCCTTTAACAGTGGTCTATTTCAGAATGTCAGTAAAGGCACTAATATTTTTTTTAAATGTAGCAAAAAGTTATTTTAATCAGTAAATATATAAATGTTTTAAATTTCTTATGGAAAGGACATTGTATTATATAGTATAAAATTTGCAGTTGTGAATTGTTGAAAAAATAAATCTATGCACATATTGTAGTAAATTAACCACTGAGTCTGCTTCTATACTTTATCATATAAATGTCCCTTTTGTCTTAATTCATCTGCTTTTTTCCTTTGCCCTTCTTATAACCACTAATTGTTCTGATAGACCAAAGGGCTCTTCTCATTTAGTGCATTCATTTAGTTCATTTTATTTATTTATTTTTTTCCCTTTATTTTATTTTATTTTATTTTTTTTAAAGTTGTAGATTTACAATTTTTTGAAAGGCACTAATATTTGTGAAGTATTGCTCTCTACATTGAGATTAGGGGAATTGTAGAGATGTTTGGAAGACTATTCTTTGATGCTGGTATCAAAACTCACATGATGACAAACAAAGCAGTTGCTGAGTGAATGAATGAAGTCTGGTGTGATCTGGAAAAGGAAGAACAGGAGATGGAATTGTCACAAATTGGAAAGTATATAACTGACTTAAAGTCACTTAAGTTTAGATTTAAAAATCAATTACCATAGATGTAAAAATAAAAATACTTGTCAGCTATATAACATTCTCAGTATAAATGAAATGTTAATTTATTTTTATATCCATAGAGATTTTTTATTTAATCCTTTACTTATTAATGCAGACACTTATGCAGTATCTACAATATGTTCTAAATAAGACCAGTATTCTTTTTTTAATTTTATGCCATTATTCTTTCTCTCTCTCTCTCTCTCTCTCTTTCTTTCTTTCTTTCTTCCTTTCTTTCTTTTTTGCGTTTTGAGTCACACCCAGCAATGTTCAGTGATTACTCCTGGCTCTGCACTCAGGAATTATTCCAGGTGGTGCTGGGTGGACCGTATGGGATGCTGGAGATTGAACCGGGGTCAACCGCATGCAAGGCAAACGCCCTAACCGCTCCAGCCTGCCCCCCTTCCCCCCGAGTATTCTTTCTTAAGTTAACACATACTGTCCTTGACTGATGTCAAGGACATCAGTCATGATGACAAGGACAGTTGATTGATATGTGATTGTAACAAGAAACCTATTATTAGAAAAATATTCAAAATGTGTATTTATCAACAATAATTATGTTTTTCTTATTTAACACTTAGTTCAAACTTGAATGTGAATAAGCTTAATTTTTTTTTTATTTTAATAATAAAAGCTTACTGTATGTGTTAGATCCATTTAATGAGCTGGACTGAGCATGACTTACAAGTTTTGCACTCCTAACTAGACTCTGTGCTGGTGAAATTTTTCCCTTAAGCATATATATTCCTTTATATAAAAAATACATTTTAGGACTGGAGAAATAGTACAATGAGTAAGGCTCTTGCCTTACATAAGTTTGATCCAGTTTCAATCCCTTGGCATCATGTATGGTCCCCCAAACCCTGCCAAGAGTGATCCCTGAGCACAGAGCCAAGAGTAACCCCTGAGTACAGCCAGACATGGCCAAAAACAAATTTAAAGTATATGTGTATATTTAAACACATGCAACATGTTGTCCATTTTATTCTTCTCAATTTTTCTTTCAATCCTCTACATTAACTCATACTTACAGCCACAGTCTTTGTTAAAATTCTGCTGTCTTTGCAAGCTCACTTTTCCCTCTTCTGCAGTCATTTCTGGACATATCCCCTTGTTTATTGGCCATTGGACATGGCATACACTAAATCGATCAATAGACCTCAAAGGTTATTATTTATAAAATTATAGACAGATGTTGTTAATCAAGCCACGTGTTAACAAGCAGAGCAGCAGAATAATCAGTTTTGTCTTTGAGGAGCTCACTTGGGGAGCAGTTGAAAAATCAAACCAAAAGGGTAAACCTTGGCGTGGGTAAACCAGCCATGCTAGATTCCTACTGTGCAGGATTTCGCTGCACTAGTTTCCTACCACTGCATTAAGAAGCAGCCCCACGTTGAGCAGAAAAACACCAGAATTTCTGGTCTTCCCACTCTGCATCACAGGTCTAAGCTGGCTCAACTGGCTTCTCTACTCTGGATTTTATAAGTTGGTCTCATAGTGATAGTCCCAGAGAGAAACCGATTTCCTCTCTCCTCAGATTATTCACAGAATGCAGTTCCTTGTGGTTGTAGGGCTAACGTTTTCTTGCTTATAGGACTGAAGTTTTCTTCCTGGCTTGGCTTTTGGCTTCTAAAGGCTTCTTTGCAGTTCTGGTAAATGCTCCCCTCCCCAAAGCCAGCAGTGGTGTAGTGAGTCCTTCTCACGCTCTGAACCTCTCCCTATATCACAGGAAGCTGCTTGGTAACTTCAATTTTATCTGTAATGTCCCTTCAGAGAATTACCCAGATAGATGGAGGAGTGAGTGAGTGCATACCCAGAGGACATGATTTCCCAGTGGGTAATCTTTTAACATTTTTTTCTATCGCACAAGTCAAAAGATAGGGTAGTGAGCCTTGGGCAAGTAGGAGAGAAACTATGAGGACTTACATTAAGGTGACCATGAGACTAAAGGAAAGAAATGAAGAGTTAGGGTTAGTTACTAATTAGATAGGTAGAGAGAAGGAAGCCACCAGCAAAACTGGCATGACGTGACAGTATCACTTATATGCCAGAGAAGGAGGTTGGAAAGGTCTGTACATGCAGGGTATACTATTTATTACTGTGGAAACAAATGCAGTGAAATCTCAAGAAATTGGAGAAACTGTATCTTTCAAAGCAGGTCCAAGGATGAGGAGGAGGCGCATCAGTTGGCCGTCTACATGAGAAGCTGTCAGATAGTGAACTCCTGTCCCTCCCTCTCTCTTCTCAGTTTACTTTCTAAAGACCCTAAATCAGAGAGGCACCATTTATGGAAACCCCAAGCTCAGTGAGGACAAAGGGAGAGAAACAATGTACTGGAATCTCCCCTGGCCCCTTTTTCCAGTCAAGGTCTGGGATACCAGCAACTGTATTTCACTTCCTGGCCAGGAGTTAGCTCTGAAAGCATGGAACAGCCTCAGGAAATTCACACATAGGTACTAACATGTAGGAGTCCCCCACCCCCAAAGCAGCTCCCAGGTCTCCAACCAGGTTATCCTTCAGTCATTTACCTTTTTGCAGACCCTAGGGAAGCTCAGCACTGGCAGAGCTGTTAGTAACTCATGCTTACATGGGAATAGAAGACAAGCTCACCCCTCATCCTGGGGCCACTGCTTTGGTCCTTAAGTGAGTTCCCTTTTGCTAAGGGCAGGTTGGGTTCACTTGGAACCCTGTTGAGTTTGGGATGACAGCTTTGTGTCCTTCAGCAGAGATGGTCCCCAGAGCAGCCCAACAGCCTGGAACCCAGCATTTTCCCCCGTTATGGACCCTTTTCCAATTCAGTGTTCGTAACATGGGAAAAAAGACTCCTTCTGACCTCAGAATGCATTGCCATACTCCATTCCCTTCTCTATGTACAAATTCATAGGCAACATTCTTCCTGATTTGTCAAAATTGCAATTTACCATAATCCTTTTGAGAGTCGGTATACTTACATGAACCTCCCAGCAAATCTCAGTTGAAAATTAAATACTGGCAACTTACAACTGCTCTATATTTGATAAGTTGTCAACACCCTCACTCTGGGTTTGATTGATCTGTTTCTTGTGGTTTCCAGAAACTTGCTCTTAAACCTCTTATAGGAAGGCAAAAGATTATTTTTATTAAATTTCTGAATAGATTTCTCAGCATCTTTTAAAGTTACTGAATTAGGTTTCTAAACTTTTAGACATTGTATAATACTTGAGACAAGGCTAAATCTCTCGTTGCCCTTCAAAGCTAGGAAGCTTTTGAGGTTAATTTGGAATCTGCCGAAATACTTGAACAAAATGCTTTTGTCAAGGGAATACAATAGTTGAAAAAATGGGGAGAAGTTTTAGAATTAATGCACACATTAAAGAATTCTAAAATAATTCTCTGATTCTTTTTTTTGCTTTAAGAAAGACATAAAAGGGACTGGAGAGATAGTGCCGGATTAAGGCAGTTGCTTTGCATGCATGCAGCTATGCAACTCCCGTTGTTGGGTCCAGCACTATATATATATATATATATATATATATATATATATGTATATATATGTGTATATATATGTATATATATATATATATGATCTCTTGAGCACTGCCAGGCGTAGCCCCCAAGTGAAAAAGCAAAACAAAACAAAATAACCATTTAAGTTGAATGCATAGATATGAAAAGATAGACACACTTGCTCATAATAAGAGAAATGTGTGTGGGAAGCCATAATGAGTTTCTTATGACTGATAGAAGAGAGGATTTTGTGAGAACCAGACTCAGCATTGCTCAGTCCCGGCTGAAGTACTGCTAGAGAAACCGTTAGTAAATGGGGCTTCATTCTTCATTGGTGGACCTCTAACTTGACATAACCCAAAGGAAAATAGTGTATCAAATCTAGTCAGATTTAAAGCATCTTTGGTTTGGCAGTTTTACTTCTAGAAATGTATTCGATGTATACTATATGGATAGGAATACTTATTACAGTATTGTTTGTGATAACAGCTACTTTTCAGGGAAATAACCAAAATGCCCATTAATTCAAGGGTGATTGGATATATGATTTATCCAGTTCTTTTTTTTTTAATTTTTTTTTATTTTTAGTGAAACACCATGAGGTACAGTTGTAGATTTACAATTTTTTGTGCTTGGGTTTCGATTATACAATGATCAAATACCCATCCCTCCACCAGTGCCCATTTTCCACCACCATGGATAATATCCCTCCCACCCCCATCCCCCCCATCCCACCCTGCCTCTGTGGCAGGGCAATCCCTTGTGTTCTCTCTCTCCTTTTGAGTGTTGTGGTATGCAAAAGAGGCTTTGAGTGGCAAACATGTTCAGTCCATAGTCTACTTTCAACATGCATCTCCCCTCCTGGGAGGATCCTCCAAACACCCTTTATTTGGTGCTCCCTTCTCTATCTGAGCTGCCCTTTCCCCTAGAATGCCTGGCTGGCCTCCAAGCTATGGAGTAATCCTCCTGGTGTTGATCTCAGCTATTCTTGGGTGTTAATTTCCTATTTTGTTATTTTATATTCCCCAGATGAATGCAATCTTTCTATGTCTATCCCTCTCTTTCTGACTCATTTCGCTTAGCATGATACTTTCCATGTTGTACCACTTGTATATAAATTTCATGACTTCATCTTTTCTGTTAAGCTACATAGTACTCCATTGTGTAGATGTACCAAAGTTTCTTTAACCAGTCATCTGTTCTTGGGCAGTCAGGTTTCTTCCAGGTTCTGGCTATTGTAAAGAGTGCTGCAATGAACAAACAAGTGCAGATATCACCTCGACTATACATTTTTGCCTCTCTGGGATATATTCCCAGGAGTGGTATTGCTGGGTCAAATGGGAGCTCAATTTCTAATTTTTTGAGAATCGTCCATACTGTTTTCCAGAAAGGCTGAACCAGTCGACATTCCCACCAACAGTGAAACAGTGTCCCTTTCTCGCCACATCTGCGCCAGCATCGGTTGCTTTTGTTCTTTTGGATGTGGGCCAGTCTCTGAGGTGTGAGATGGTATCTCATTGTGGTTTTGATCTGCATCTCCCTGATAATTAATGATGTAGAACATTTTCTCATGTGCTTTTTTGCCATTTGGATTTCTTCTTTGAGAAAGTTTCTGTTCATTTCATTGCCCCATTTTTGGATGGGGTTGGATGTTTTCTTCCTGTGGAGTTCAACCAGTATTTTGTATATCCTTGATATCAACCCCTTGTCAGATGTGTATTTGGTGAATATCCTTTCCCATTCTGTAGACTGTCTTTGTATTTTGGTCACTGTTTCTTTGGAGGTGCAGAAGCTTCTTAGTTTCAGATAGTCCCATTTACCTATCTCTGTTTTCACTTGCTCGGCCAGTGGCGTGGCATCTTTGAAGATACCATTAGCTTCAATGTCATGGAGGGTTTTGCCAACTTTGTCTTCAATGTACCTTATGGTTTCTATATCCAGTTCTTTATTCAATGGAATAACATGATAAAGAATAGGGAAGTTTTCTGTGTCCTAATATGGAAAGATCTCAAGAAAGCAACATGACATTAGTGAGTTTTTTAAAAGATTTTTTTAAGTTTAGTGGGTTTCTTTTTTTAAATAAGAAATGCAATGGGAGGGCTGGAGTGATAGCACAGTGGATAGGGTGTTTGCCTTGCACACGGCCAACTTGGGTTTGATTCCCAGCATCCTATATGGTCCCCTGAGCACCATCAGGAGTAATTCCTGAGTGCATAAGCCAGGAGTAACCCCTGTGCATCGCCGTGTGTGACCCAAAATGCAAAAAAAAAAAAAAAGAAATGCAATGGGGAGTGACCACTAATGAATTTTTTTTGGATAATGAAAGTGTTCTGGAATTAAATAGTGATGATGGCGATTCATTCTTATGAATAAACTGAAGTCCATTGAATTGTTAACTTTATAATGGTAACTTTCTGCTATGTGAATTAAATGAAGTAAATGAGGTATATACACCTATACATATAAAAAATAATTTCTAAAACTATATTAATACTTGACAAAAGAGGTATGTTTGGGGGAAGAGGAAAAGAGAGGTAAAAATGGAAGGGAAATTCACTCTTCACCATTTGACTTTGAATTTTGAAACACGAACATATTTGAAATATGTATATATTTAAAATAATTAAAATAGCTTATAAAATAAATATGTTTATTAAATGTACTTTAACAGCATGAAGGCAAATTTGTATTAGAAATTAATTGTCAAGCTACTAAGTGAAGAAATACTAAAAATAATACGAGAAAATTCATGTTTGAACTAATTTTTTTAAATCTACAATAGGTGTAAACTATCAGAGAAACTGGGCCATGCTAATTAGAAGAAATTAATTGGATAATTGCATTTCACCTACTTTAAATTCCCCTGTCTCCTCTGATCGCAATAACTTTCCTCTTAATTTCCAGTCCCTAAAACCATTGTGCGGCATTTGGTAGTGTTGTGTGATCTGTTCGGAATCCCACATCAGGAGTAACTTGACTTCAGTGGAAGTTTCCATAAACCCTGGATGGGCTGATAATAATGGAAACTGCCTTGAGATTAGAGAAGATGTGATTGAAGCTGGTTAACTAAAAGAGAATCGCTTTACCCAAATGCACTGATACACTATTACACCTGATGAAGTGATTTGAGAAACCCTGAGTAGAAGGCCAAGAGGGAGGGGAAGGTGCAGTTAGGGATTTTCTTCACAGCTGGGCAGGAGTTGGTTTTGCGTGTTTTGTTTGATCGTTTCCTTTTCCTACACACACACACACACACACACACACACACTTTTTTCCCATCAAGTGAAAATTAGTCCAAAGGATTTTGAATGACTCTTGGATTTCTCATACAAATAGATTTTGAGGGGCTGGAATGATTGTACAGCAGGTTGGGTACGGGCCTTGCAGATTGGTGAACCCAGGTTTGAACCCCAGCATCCCCTATTGTCCTCTAAGCCCCACCAGGTGTGATCCCTAAGCGCAAGCCAACAATTATCCTTGAGCACCACCTGGTATGGCCCCAAAAAACAAAAAGAAAGGAATAAGAAATCATTTTATTTGAGGACCACCCTGGCATTGCTCAGGGGGAACTCCAGCTCCAAGAAAAAGAAATCCTGAGAAAACTGATATGAAAGAAAGATGTTTTTTAATCCTTCTTCCTCCCTCTTCTTTTTCTACGTCTTGGAAACTTACTACATATTCTAAATAAAAAGGTTATGTGTACATGTGAAATGCTAATATGAAAAGTACAAGTACTAGCTGAAGAATAATTTCATTTTTTCTTATAATTATCATATTAATTTCAATGTGGTCTACTTGCATTTTACAGAAAGTGGTCTATTATTTTATTTTCTGGAAACTTTCTTTTTTTTTTTTTTTTGTGAAAGTTGTTATGTATGAGACCTGGTGTGAGGATCAACATCATGACTATTGTATCCAAGAGACTGTGAATTTCTGTGGTAGATGATGAGTGGGTCAGTTTTCATGATGGAGTTATACACTATTTTCAGGAAACTTTCATCTTAGATATAAACCATGGTATCTAATAATGATCACCGACATAAATCTTAGTAAAAAGTGATTAAAAATTCAAAACACCATCAAAAACACATTTTGTTAAGGTAAAATCTTTAATTATTAAAATAAGTTAGCATATTGTATCGAAAAAAAATTCATGGAGACCAATATACAAGAGGGAAGTTGTTCCTAACTTTAATATTAGCCCTATGAATAGATTTGCCTTTTCTTCTACCACTTTGACAGGAAACAATGTAAAACATGAAATCGAATTTCGTAGGAGACAGGAAAACTACTTACCGTGTAATTGTTTTAGGTACATAACCAAGGAAGATGTTGCTGTGGCCTCAATGGACAAAGTGAAGAAGGACGGGGGCTATGTCCGTCTGATCACAAAGGACTCAAGGTCACAGGACCCTTCTACAAAGTAAGGCAGTTTCGTAAGACAGAACTGGAGAGACAATAGTACCAAGGTTAAGGCTCTTGCTTGTGTATGGATAACCTGGTTTGGATCCGCAGCACTGCCTCATGTCATCCCCTGAGCACAGAGCCAGGAGTAAGCCCTAAGTGTTGCAACAAAACACAAAATAATATACATCCTTTACCAATAGGACATAATAGTACTAAGACTACTCCTTTAAAGTTATGTATTTTTATAAGTATGCTTTTCCTTTGGGGGCCCACTTTATAGATTATTCACACCAGTATTCTTCAGACCTCTCACAACCCTGGGAGGCTCGGGCCCTCACTTAGAAACTCAGGACAAGGGGGCTGGAGCAGTAGCACAGCGGAGAGGGCATTTGCCTTGCATGTGGCCAACCCCAGTTCGATACCCAGCATCCCATATGGTCCCCTGAGCACTGCCAGGAGTAATTCCTGAGTGCAGAGCCAGGAGTAGCCCTTGTGCATCTTTTGGGTGTGACCCAAAAAGCAAAAAAAGAAACTCAGGACAAGGAAGGTTCAAGTGACCTGCCCTATATTTGATCTAAAGCCTAGATCCTTAGGCCTGAGGTCAAATATGGGGTCTCCCCACCCTTCCCCTGCTCCCCCCAAAGGGAATTCTTTCTATCATAAATTCTATTTTTAACACTATTAACAACTTTGGAAAATGGACAAAGCAGCTTTTCAAAGAATTGATTAATGTACCTTTTTATTTTATTATAACCTCTGAGTGCGTCCTATCACGGTTTTTTGTTTGTTGATTTTTTGTTTGTTTGTTTGTTTCATGGTGCCAGGGACCAAACCCAGAGCCTCATATATGTGAAGTAGTGTTCTACTGCTGAACTATATTCTCAGCTCCTCCTGCCTTATTTCTAATTTAATCTGTTCTGAATTGACCTGTAGGAAGCACATATTTAGCAAATCTTAGTCATGATTTTTATGAGCATTATTAGCTTCTGTTTCCATGGACCAGCCCTGGTAAATGGACATCTTAGTAACATCTTCTCTGTTCTAATTGAGATGTGTGGCCCCACTTTTGGAGAATGGGGTAAACCACTAAATTTAGTTGCAATGTAAAAATTAGCCTTTTTTAGCCAGAAAAACTGGTTTCTAGCCTCTCCTTTCCGAATTCCTGTAGGTGTTTTAGTATCGATTGTTCAACTTGAAGACATAAATTTCCAAGAGAGGTAATATATTTATATTCAAGTTAATTTGAAGGGAGGGAGAACATACTGGAGATTGAGCCCAGTACCTCTTAAATTTCACTGTAGCCCCCAGCTCTTCAAATTAATTATATGTGTACAGTAGGTAAGGCATTTGCCTTGCACACAACCAACCCAAGTTGGATTCCTGGATCCCATATGGTCCCCCAAGCACTGCCAGGAGTAATTCCTGAGTGAAGAGCCAAGAGTAACCCTTGAACATCACCAGGAATGACCCAAAAAGTTAAAAAAAATTTAATTATTTGTGGGTTAGTGGGGGTGGGGGCTCCCCAAGCAGTGCTCAGGCTTCGGAGGGTCTGGGAACCACTCTCAGTGATGTTTAGCCGAGCAGACTAGAAGATTGAACGCTAGGGCCTAAAGGAAACCGAACTGCTTGAGCCCTGGAGAGCCAGGTGACTGAGGCTACCCCCAGAGTTGCTCAGGGTACCAGCCATGCCAGATTTGAATTCGGATTATGGCACAGGCTTTGTATGCACTCATGGCTGCTGAGTTACTCAAATTATGTTTGCACATCACATTCTTTCCTCTCCCTGGCATGGAATATAGAGTGTGAACCATAGCTATTTCATGATTACACTGATTCACAGAATTCATGGACCCTGTGTTTTCTGTTTTATCAGTATAGAAACACTGAGGAACTTGATGCACTGTAATGACTAGTTAGATGGGAGTAAGCATTCATCCATTGCATATTCAATGTTTTCTTCGATTCTAGAGAATGTCTTGAAGATGGAGCCTGTGTCCCATTTCTCAGTCCCTGTGCAGCCCAGGCAGATCTCACTGTGACACCTCCCTCCAAAGGCTATTTGCAAGCTGTGGATAATGAGGGGAATCCACTCTGCCTTCGCTGTCAGCAACCCACTTGCCAAACTAAGCAGGACTGCAAAGTGAACCCTTGGGATTCTCAGTTTTGCTCTCTGCAGTGTCAGGAGGAGTTCTGGATTCGATCTAATAACAGTTACCTACGAGCCAAAGTCTTTGAAATTGAACATGGTGTGTGTCAGCTGTGTCATCTGAATGCACAAGAGCTCTTTCTACGAATGAAAGATGCCCCTAAAAGTCAAAGGAAGAATCTCCTGGATATTACCTGGATCTCAAAACTCCCATTAGAACAGGTACATTATAATCTTGTGGCAGGGAGAGGGAACATTATGAGGTACTGACCTGCCAGGTTTCTTTTTTCTTAACCTTTCAGTGTGAGAATTTTCAAATATATATAAATATTAAGAGAATAGTGTCTCTCTCTGCCTATTCCCAGTTTTTTTTGCCCATACACAACTTTAACAGTTATCAGCATTTTGCCTTCATTTTTCATCTGTTCTCGCCTCAGTTTATATTTTTTTTCTACCTAGGATAGTTCTAAAACAAATTTTAGTCATTTCGCTTCACCCTTACTTTTGTTTCTCTTACCAAGGTTTAACTCTCTACCTCCTTCCCGTCCTTCTTTTTTTTTTTCCTTTTATAATCACAAACCCCCACTACTCATCACACTGATACAATTATTGTTCCTTAATTATAATTCTAATTTTGTTTTCTCGTATTGTCTCAAAGTGTCTTTACAATTTCTTTGTTTAAATTAGGATCAAAATATGATCCAAGGGCTGGAGCAGTAGCACAGCAGGTAGGGCATTTGCCTTGCACGCGGCTGACCTGAGTTTGATTCCCAGCATCCCAAATGGTCCCCTGAGCACCACCAGGAGTAATTCCTGAGTGCATGAGCCAGGAGTAACCCCTGTGCAATGCCGGGTGTGACCCCAAAATTTAAATATATATATATGATCCATATGTTGTGTGTGGTTGTTTTATCACTTATGCTCTACTTAATGGATAATAGCACCCAGCTCTTTTTTCACACTTTTGTTGAAGAAAGTGGATCATTTTCCTGTAGAATTTCCTAAACCCTGGTTTTTAGATGTTCAAACCATCCTCATGGTTGTTGAGGATTTCCCCAGATCAAATTTCCCTTGATCTCCAGAATGATATGGATATAAGATTATTTAAGTTCTAATTAGATTATTTGGGGGAAGTGTTGATGAACTGAGGCATTAAAAAAAATTGAGGAAGAGATATGAACAGATGGCATACTGCATCAAGAGGTATCTTTGATATGGTCATTTTTATTTTCATGATGCTAATAATGATTGACAAAGGACAAACCGATACTTCTGAAAACATTTCTTTACAATTAGAAAGAAACAAATATGTTTCTCTGATTGTAACCTGTAATTTTAGTAGGGCAATATTTCTGACAAATATTTAACAAAATATTACTCTTCGCAAAATACTTATCACCAGTATTTGCTTTAATTTCCAAAGCAGGTGGATTTATTGTGGTGTGATCTCATCAGTTCCAAATCTCAAACTAAACTATATGTGCTTCTTTTTTTTTTCTTTTTTCTTCTTTTTTTTTTTTTAACCTTTTGACATATACAAAGGCAGTGATCAATGGCTGCTGATCACTTGGAGAGCTTGAACTTTTCCAGATTGAACCCAAGCCTCCTGCACACAAAGCAGGTGCTCAGCCTGTTGAACTCTCTTTCCAGAAAATATATAATCTTTTTTAAAACACTGAGCCACTCCCTTGCTCACAAAATTAATTGGATAAATTCCTGCCTGTTAGTCAAGTTATGTTTTTATTTAGCATTGCTGAATTATGAAAGAACTAATAAACATTTATGTAAAGATGAGTCATAGAGAAAGACACTGTATTACCCAGAATTTCTGGAAGATCCTTGATCTAAGTGATGAAGGACATAACACATCCATCTCAGGGTCCCTAACCAGGCCGCAACCTATGCCCCACTGTGAAGATGGCCCAGGATGAAGTTACTTAAGGTCACCTTGAAAGCAGCCTGTCAGAGACCACAGCCGTAACACAGTGGACAGCTAGGACAGACAGGTCTGGAGTATTCAGAGCACCACAGCTCTGATTGGGAAGACCAGTTGAAAGGGTGGTATTCTCTCAAGAGGTAGATGTAGAATAGTGTAGAAGATTGGCCCAAAGGGATTAGCCAGAATGTTAGTGGGGCCAGAGCAATAGGACAGCAAGTAGGCACTTGCCTCGCACATGGCTCTCCCAAGTTCAATCCCCAGCATCATGTATGGCCCCCCAAGTCTCCCTGAGCACAGAGACAGAAGTAAGTAAGCCTTAAGTGCAGGCGTGGCTCCAAACACACACCTCACCCCCTCCCACCACCAAAAAAAAAGAAGAAGAAGAAGCAACTCCTGCTGAATTACAATTTCTGTACAGTGGTAGGTGTCTAAACTAAGAGTTTGTTACAAAAAGCAGAACCAACATGGATTTTTTTTTCTAAGAATTTGCTCTTCTCTTAATGTGCAGTTGCTCTGAACAGTGCTTTTTGAACAACTCCAAAGATAAAAATCAATGTCTCTCAACATAACTTGGGAGGCTTAGTACAACAGAGAAAGCCAGTCTGTAACAAGGTTCAGCCAGACAGAGTTTGTCAGTCCACACTAGCTGCTCTCTGTAGTCCCTCCCAGGGGTCACAGTTATTCATGTTTCTGTGTTTCCCAGGGTCTCACAGCTGTCCTAGGTGTTGAGGAGCAGAGGCAATAGACAATTGTGCCCTCGTATCATTTCAGTGGTGGTTGTGATTATACCCTTAAAATGTATAAACTTTTAAAATGCTTGTTTAAAATTTAAAAAGTACCTTAGAACTGACACGGTCAGTTGTTATGGTCAGAAGTTTTATTACATGATGTTGGTTTTCTGCTGTTGTTTTGGTTTGGGGACCACACCCAGAAATGTCCTGAGCTTACTTCTGGTTCTGCACTCAGGGATCACTCCTGGCAGCCTTGGGGGCTTGCAAGGAAAGTGCCCTCTCTACTGTACTATCACTCCAGCCCCTGATAACGTGATATTAATTCCAATTTCTTCCTTGTCCAAGATCAAGGAAATAAAAATTTTCACACTGTCTCAGAGATATTTAAACAACTGCTCAGCTACAGTGCACTCTGATTTGCTACATCATGTAAAATGTTTAAATACACTCCAAGTTAATATAGGGTCATCACTGGTTAACTATAAATGCTCACTATTTAGGTGAACTCTCCTAAATAGTGGCCACTTAATTTTATTTTTTAGTGAAGCAAAATACCTTTACTGAAAGGTATTTACTTAGAGAAATCTGGAGGGAGAGAGAGATATGTGTTCAAGAGAATACATACTGGTTTCTCAAAAGTTGAAAAAAGACAATAGTGGCCACTTAGTTTTTTTTGTTTTTTTTTGTTGTTGTTGTTGTTGTTTGCTTTTTGGGTCACACCCGGTGATGCACAGGGGTTCCTCCTGGCTCTTCACTCAGGAATTACTTCTGGCGGTGCTTAGGGGACCACGTGGGATGCTGGGAATCGAACCCAGGTCGGCCACATGCAAGGCAGACGCCCTACCTGCTGTGCTATTGCTCCAGCCCAATAGTGGCCACTTTGAATGAACATGTTTGATTATTCCAAATATGCACATTTCATAGATGTGTACTAACATTTGTATTCCAGCCTATGTAATGCAAGTGGTTCCCAGGTGAAGAAAATCTAGGTGTGAAAATCTAGGGGATAGCTATTTGGCTCTCATTGGTCCAATAATCAGTGCATGTAGGTCAGCAACTAAGTTTGGTTCAGTGATACTTAGAAGTTTTACCTTTTCCATCTGTTCTCATTCTTTTCTTTGTCTTAGGTGCTATATAAACTAGGGCAAAGGTATGAAGCAACTGATTTTTCTCAATATGTCGGAAGGCTTGGAATTTTATACTTGCTTGTAATTTTTTTTTCAAAATAAGTTAGGTAAGGGGGAAAAGAACCTTCTCAAAAACATAGTTTATTGCTTTCAAATTGCTAACCTAGAGGGTTATTTTTTCCTACTCACAAAAAAAGCTATAAAAAAGCCATCCTAATGTATTTTTCTTTGTGATTTTGCTGTATAAATTTGATTGCACATTTAGAAACCAACCGTTCCCACTGTAGATGCTGGAAGTTGCTGATCTTGTGTTCTTATTGCAGCTTAATGAAATGATAAGGAACCCCGGGGAGGGGCAGTTCTGGCAGGTGGACCACATTAAGCCAGTGTTCGGCGGAGGAGGGCAGTGCTCCCTGGACAACCTGCAAACTCTCTGCACCATCTGCCACAGAGAGGTCAGTGGCACTTGCAGATGCATTTCACTCCCTCCTGGGACAGTGGGAAGGGGCATTGTGCCTCCTGGTGGGAGAGGTCCTGTTAGCCCACGTCCCTGCAGTGGACCCCAAGGTGCATTCTGTTCCTTTCATCTCCGAACACTTACCCTTAACTTTGAGGTCTATATAAATTTTCAGTCACAGGTAGAAGAGAAGCTTATTCCTTTTTAATTCATTCTCAGACCGTAACATTTTTATTCGCCACCTAGAAGGAAAGGAGGGCTTCTTACATCATGCAGAGTCTTGAAGAGATCCAGACCCTCAAACTAGCAGCTTCATGAATTGTGACAGTGACATGTGTATTTTCTAAAGGCTGTGGTGCTCTATCTCTCCTGCCACTTGCATTCGGTGGTCTCCGCTTCCCCCACCTCAAGGAGGCCAATGGTGATGGGTAGGCAAAGGATGGAACGAGGGTCAGGCTGGTCAGTATCAATTGCAGTTTATTCCAATCTCCTCTCCGGACTCTTCCGATTCCCCTTCTGCTTCTCTCTCTCCCAGCCTTCATTCTCCTTCTTGCTTCCCCCTCATTTTCCTTCTGGCCGCTGGATCTGACTCTGCCCACCTCCGCTCTTACAGTCTTAGTTTATATAGCAATCACATAGGGTGGTGATACAAAGGTGGGTTGAACATTAACAAATCAACAAAGAGGGACTGGAGAGATAGCACAGCGGGTAGGGCATTTGCTTTGCACGTGGCCCACCCGGGTTCGTTTCCCAGCATCTCATATGGTCCCTTGAGCACCGCCAGGAGTAACTCCTGAGTTCAGAGACAGGAGTAACCCCTGTGCATCGCCAGGTGTGACCCAGAAAGAAAAAAAAAATCAACAAAGAGGGGTACGACCACTCCTCCAGGTGATTAACTCAAGGACAAAATCTCATCTAAGGAGATTACTCCACATTACTAGGAGATCTGTTCAAGGGTGGGATCCCAATGAGGGTGTGTCGCTTTCTTTTTTCCTCAGCTAGTAATCCACTTAAGTCACACTGTCACTGTCACTGTCATCCCATTGTTCATCGATTTTCTTGAGCAGGCACCAGTAACGTCTCCATTCGTCCTAGCTCTGAGATTTTAGCAAGTGCCACATTGGAGACTCTTTCAGGGTCAGGTCAGGAGAATGAGACCCATCATTGTTACTGGGTTTTGGCATATCGAATACACCACGGAGAGCTTGCCAGACTCTGCCATGTGGGCAAGATACTCTCGGTAACCTGCCAGGTTCTCCAAGAGTGAGAACTAGACAATAAGAGGTTGCACAGGCCACTATCACAGCTGCGCGACATCCTGTAGTCTTCAGAACCAGCAATAGAAAACAAATTATTTCACAATGCCTTTTCAGCAGGTCTGATTGTTGGGGAGAAATTCCAAATAATAATGGTGCATCTTTTGTCGAAATAATTAATGTAATCAGAGTAAAAAAGAGAGTTAAGTGGAAATCATCTGCCTCACAGGCATCAGGAGAGGTGGGATGGGGGGTACATTGGGGTTCTTGGTGGTGGAAAATATGCAGTGGTGAAGGGATGGGTGTTTGATCACTCTATGGCCGAGACTTAAACCTGAAAGCATTGTAACTTTTCTCAAGGTGATTCAAAAAATTAATTTAAAAAAAAAAAAGGAAGTTGCACGGCCATGCCTTCCGGAGCTTGGTTTTATAGTCACGGGATCTTGGCCATTCATGGGATTACACAGCACTGGGGGCAATTGGTGGGTGTAACTTAAATAGTTGTAGTAAATCTACTGCTAATATTTCTAGTAATGTCATTCTGTATGAGCACAGTAAGAGGTATAAACTTAAGGTTTGGTTCTTCCTGAGGACATCTCACTATATATTCCAGACAGCAGTCGTCAGGCCAGGTAGTCTTCCTAACCCCAGCAGGGTCCTAATCTCGTCGTTACTTTAGTATCATGACAGCATTTGTCCATGATCATGCTCTCAACTTAGAGTTAAGTATTGTGGTGCTTTGGCCTAGCCCATTTCGATGCCAGGGTAACTCACAGCTTGCCCTGGGTCCATTATGTCCGTTGTCAGGACCCTGCTTTTGGGGTGCTAGGAACTAAGGGCAACTGAGTTGAGAATGCAGATGCCCAGGAGTAAATATTATTGGAGTCAATCAACTCCCAAGTTACAAAAGCATAATATTAACTGTCTTCCTGTGTCCATACAGAAAGGACATTGCTTTAAGGTAAACTATGTAAAAGACATAACTTACAATACAAGTTCAGTGTCCTTAGAAGGATCTTACAAGTTAACAGAATCTGATTAGGGGGAAAAGGTGATTAAATGGTTGGGGAGGAGAGCACAGAGAAGAGTTTACAGATAAACACAGAGGAATGGGAGTGACTCGGGGAGCACCGTGATGGGTGTAACCTGATAAACCTAAGCTCCCTGTGGCAAGGGAGAAAGGACAAACCAGTGTTATCCTACAGTGACATGTTCTCATGGCCACAGATGCTTATGCTGGGAGACTGATGTGCTGCTAGTTTAACTAAAGACACAGATGATTTTAAAGGTGCTGTAACTATTTTTACACTTTCAGGAATTGTTAGGATACTTTGCCAGTGTTAGTATTATAGAAGCTCTTTCTTACCTTCTTTCAATATTTTAGATTCCTGGAAGTGAGATCATGGCATAGGTCAGAATTTTATTTCTTTGGGATTTGGGTGTTAGAGGTAGGGGTGAGTAAGGAGGGGCTTGAGTTATGTCCATCTGTGCGTAGGTCTTACTCCTTGCACTGCTCAGGGATCTGAAAGTCTTTGTAGCCAGTACTTGAACCCTGATATGTATGTGTGCTTTTTTTTTTTTTAACTTTTAGAGAACTGCCAAACAAGCCAAGGAAAGAAGCCAAATGAGAAGACTAGCACCAAAGCATGGATCAGACATCACACGGTTTTTGGTAAAAAAGTGAACTATAAAAATTCTGGGAATGTGGTTCAGTGGTAAGGTTCATATGTTACATACTGGAGACCTTGGTTGAGTCCCCAGCACCACAAAAAGAATTTTTAAAAAGAAGACAACTGGTGTATATGTGGAAAACTTAACAGGGTAAATTTTTTTAAATAAAAGTCAAAGATTTCTCTTCCCTCTCAGATTAAATGCCTTATGTGTTTCATAATTTTTATTAAGACCAGACAGATACTGAGACGCAAAATTAAGTATTTCTGTTTTTGTGCTGGTTTCATACAAACTCCCAGTCATGTTTCAGCAAGATTTTGTTGGGCATTCCTTTCCCTTGGCCCACTGTGATCATGATATGTATTTAGATTAAACATACAGGTTATATTTTTAATTTACACTCAATGACCTGAAAACTTCTGCTAGATTAGTATTAGTACTGGATTGCTCTTGGAAATATACAAGAAACACTGTAAAACCGTGAAGGAAATTTCAAGTATGATGGAGACACCCTAATCACTGAATTCTCCAAAATTTTCAGTGTACCTTTTTTGAATTGTTTTTATTCAGTACCTTTACTGAAATGGTATCTTTAAAAATAAGTCAACTATACCTTTGTGTTTATGGACAGTTTGGGGGCTGGGATAAGATAATTATTAAAAGTATTTTAAAAATAAAACATAAAAAGAAAAATGCCTTTTAAACTTTATTTTTTAGTTTGTTTTAATGTACAAAACTAGAATTTTTTGAAGCCTGTTATCAAACACCCTTTATGTCCTGAGTTTCTATTTTCTGAATTACCAATCCTGTATCTCTAAGACCTCACTTAAGAGCAGTGATAATGATAACACTTTTTGTATAAAGTATGATCAGATGTGATGTTTAAAAATAGTCATGATATTAAAATGTTGATATTCAAAAATAAAAGTGATTCTAAAGCAGAAAAATAGCATCATCCTATAATATACCCAGAATCATGAGCACAGGGAGTCTGGGTACAAATGACACATTTATAAATAACATTTTGATATAAATTAAGATGAGCACTTTACATTTAATCATTGGTATTTTACAACATGAAGGACTTGTTTTTAGAAGGATTTATATTGTCAAATTTTCCTTCTGGAGTTGTTATTAAGTATATAACTATGTTATTGGATGAAATCAGAAATTGTTACTTACTTCCCATTAGGTTAGGCTGTGGTCTCCTTTCTGCTATGTTGGCCAGTCACTTAGAGTTTTCTGCCTCATTACCACAGAAACCTCATGGCTAAGTGAGGAGAAGACTGCACTCCACATTTCCTCCAACATGGGGTGTTTTCAATGACAATTTTGGTCTAAGTAGGTCAAGTTTGAGTGGAACTTAATCTTTAGATCAAATTAATACTGCAATTCTAGGAGAAAGTACTTATGATGATATGAAGTGAAATGACCTATGAAGATGGTCTTTTTCTTTGCCAGGTTTCAAATTTTATAATTAAAAACTTAACCAGAACAGCAAAAATAATAAAATAGAAATAAATTTCATCAGAATGGTAAAAACAGGGGCTAGCGTGATAGTACAGTGGATAGGGCATTTGCTTTGCACGTGGCCAACCCGGGTTTGATTCCCAGCATCCCATATGGTCACCAAAGCACTGCCAAGAGTAATTCCTGAGTACAGAGTCAGGAATAACCCCTGTGCATCACAGGGTATAGCCAAAAAGAAATTTCTTTTCTTTTTTTTTTTAGTATTACCAAATATATTTTAATACTGTTTGAGAAGATCATATGCTTTTATATTTTGACCTTTTATTTTAAATTTTTATTAGTGAAACACCATGAGGTACAGTTGTAGACTTACAAATTTTTGTGCTTGGGTTTCAGAAATTTCTTTACAGAAAGCTTAACCTGATAACAACATCTTAGTAATCTTTTCTACAAGGGCTTAATAGCTACATGGTGAGATATACAATCTTCACTAACTTTCTTCTGAGGAAACATTTTTTGATCATTCTTTTAGCAAATCATAACAAGCAGTATAAAAGAAATTATTGCTGTGGGGGCAGGTTTACGGGGTGGTTGGAAAAATTGGAAATAATTACGGTGGGAAGGTGCAGTGGTGGTGAGATTTGTCATTGGTGTATAGAATGTAACAAATTGGCATGAACAATTTTGTAAACCACAGTGTTTAGATAAGGTGGAATTTAAAATAAATTAACAAATAAAAACCACCAAAGAACCTGAGTAGATATTTTTCCAAAGAGGACATACAAAAAACTAAAAGGTACATTAAAAGATATTTGGCATCACTATTTATCAGGAAAATATTTTTTTTTGTTTGTTTTTTTTGTTTGTTTTTTTGCTTTTTGGGTCACACCCAGCAATGCTCAGGGGTTACTCCTGGCTTTACACTCAGGAATTACTCCTGGCAGTGCTTGGGGAACCGTATGGGATGCCGGGGATTGAACCTGGGTCAGCCGTGTGCAAGGCAAATGCCCTACTCACTGTGCTAGCGCTCTGGCCCCTCATCAGGAAAATATAAATTAAACTCTCAGTAGCCTTACCTCAAACCTGTTAGGATGGCCAGTGCCAAAAAGTAGATAAATGTTGGTGATAAAGTAAACATAAGATAACCCTTGAATATCAGTGGGGATATAAACTAGTATTGTTGCTGTCAAGAGCAGTCTGGAGAGTCCTGAAGAATTTAAAATTAGTCATTTTAAAATACTGCTTAGTATCTACCCCCAAGATATCAAAACATTCGTTTGAAACAATGTGTGAACTCCTGTGCTAATTACAGCACTTAGTACAATAGCCAGGATATGGAAACAACCCAGGTATCCAACAAGAGAAGATTGACTATTGAAGTTGAGGTACATATACCGAATGGAATACTACACAGCAGCAAGGAATGATAAAATTTTGCAATTCAAAGCAACTTGGATGGACTTGGAGAATCTCATGTTATGAATTAAGTCACAGATATTTTCACATATCTGTTGGTTTATGGATGACCTGTCTAGTGAACGAAACGTAGTAATGGTGGGCAAAACATTGGCTCTAGTTTACAGTAACGAAAGTGCCAAGGAAGGAGAGAATTAAAGGTGGTGAGCAAGAAGAGGTCTGGAAATAGCCCAGGGGCAAGAGACAAAGACCTTGGGCCTGTCTGGTGTAGAGACAAGGTATGTGTCTATATCTAAACCACTAGACCCAGCACTACTGACAGCATGTAGCCCAAACTTGAACATGTGTTTTCAGGGGCTGTCCTTCAGAGATAGTATAGTGGTACAGTGGTACATCTTATATGGTGGTCATGTGAGCCCACTAGAAGTGATCCCTGATCACAGAACCAGGAGCCAGGGCTAAGCCCTAAGCATTGCCGGGTGTGGCCCCAAAACAAACAAACTGTGTCTTCAGGGTACTGTGGGAATGGAGGTGGAAACATTGTGTGCTTGAAACTTTATTGTAAATCATGTCTAAATTTTAAAAGTAAATAAATAAAAGTATTTTTAATTTTAAAACTTAAGGTTAGACATGATAACCTTTCAGTACCTATAGTGCAAATCATAATGCCAAAAAGAGAGAGAGAGAGAGAGAGAAGAGAAAGAGAGGGAGAGAAAGGAGAGAGAGAGATAAAGGAGAGAGAGAGAGAAGAGAAAGAGAGGGAGAGAAATGAGAGAGAGAGAAAGGAGAGAGAGAGAGCGCAAAAGGGAAAACGGGCAGGCAGACTAGGGATAGGAGGCAAGAAGGAAACTGGGGGCATTGGTGGTGGGAAATGCACACGGTGAAGGGATAGGTATTGGAACATTGCATGACTGAAACCCAATAATGAAAAACTTTGTAACTGTATCTCACAGTGATTCAATTAAAAAAAAAAACTTAAGGTTAGGGCCCAATAGATGGTACAGTGAATATATTATGTTTGCCTTTTATGCATCTGACCAAGGTTTGAACCCTGGGATGTGATATGGTCCCACAAGCATCTCCAGGAGTGACCCCTGAGCCCATAGCCAGGAGTAAGCCCTGAACACAGTCAGGATTCACCCAAAATACAAAAACTTTTAAAAGAATTTAAAGTTAGAATTGCCCTAATGATTCAGCAGTCTCATTTCTGGGTACATATTCAGAGAGAAATGGAAACCATTATCTCAAAGTAATAACTGTTCTCCCATGTTCATTGCAGCGTTCTTCACAGTAGCTCAATATGGAAATAGCCCAAGTGTCTGTCAGCAGATGAATAGACAACTATATCTATAGATATATACATATATATGATCAGATATCACATAATAACAAGCAGACATTTTGAGAAATGTGTCATTGGGCAATCTGTCATTGTGCAAATGTCATAGAATGTAATTTCACAAGCCTAGATAAAACACAATTAGGACATATCTTAGCCTATTAGGACCACCATCCTATATGAGGTCACTCATTTCTGAAACATTAAGTGACACGTAGTGCAATAGTCAACCTTAACAAGAGGTTTTACATATATGACAACTTTCCAAAACTGGAAGCTTTATGGTATGTGAAATAAACCAGAGAAAGACAAATACTGCCCGGTATTACTTTTATTTGAATCTCTTCGTCTCCCGCTGCACACCCCCCCCCCCCCAAAAAAAAGCCCCATCAAAATAGAATAGAAGAGTGGTCAAGGGCCTGGGAAGTGAGGGAAATATGGAGAAGCTGGGAAATAGATTCACATTTTCTGTGATGTAAAGAACTGGTGCTGATAATAATTGATAAAATACATAACAGTTACTTGCTTAGAGAACTTGCTGTTCTTCACTGGAGGTGGGGGGGAGTGAATTTGAGGTCATTGATCTATTCATTTGTCTACATGGTGGAGTCCTTTTACAGTGTATATGTATACCAAATCAGAATGTTGAATACTCACTTCTATGTTCATTGCTGCACTGTTCACAGTAGCCAAAATTTGGAAAAAACCCAAGTGCCTGAGAACCGATGACTGGTTAAAAAAAAAACTTTGGTACATCTAAACAATAGAATACTATGCAGCTGTTAGAAAAGATGAAGTCAGCTTTGAATTTACATACAAGTGGTTCTACATGGAAAGTATCATGCTAAGTGAAAAGAGCCAGAGAGAGAGACAGACATAGAAAGACTGCACTCATCTGGGGAATATAAACTAACAGAATGGGAGTCAAACACCCAAGAATAGTTGAGATAAGTACCAGGAGGTCTGCCCCATGGCTTGGAAGCTGGCAGCACATTCTGGGGTAAAAGGCAGCTCAGA